ATTCTTTATTTAATATAAAAAAATTATAAAGATTAGTTAAAATTTGAATGATTTTTATTAGAAGCAATTATTAATTTCATATTAGTATACCAATTTTTTTGCACCAGCCCATAATATAATCACAGTTTTTATAGTCCACCACTTGAGTTTCCATAACTATAATTGAAATATAATTTTAAGTCAAATCTCTCTATAAACATCCAATTTTACTTTTCCAAGAGTGGTGATTATTTATGGATTGAACTTTAATAAATAATTTACAAGTATAAAAGCTACAAAATAAAAGTCCATTCAAAATAATTTAAACAAGTTTTAATTAAAGTTCAATAATAGCTTCAGTCAGCTATAAATTGAAAAGTATTAATAAGGATAATTCTATACTGTATTAGTAAAAAATCACAAAATAAAGCTTGAAATACTTCATAATCTTCAAGCTCAAAATAAATTCTACTATCACTATAGCTTAACAGAACATGTTCATATGAACGGCTTTGGCAAAAGTTACGATCACATGAATAAGACTAAATCATTTCCGCCTCCGAATATTGCCACAAATTTTATAATATCCTATATTATTGTTTGCATTTATACATTTGCTTTTAAGTTCATCGGATTCATTTGGATCAAATCGGAATAAAAAGCTATTTCCAATGGATTATATCCACCAATTATTTTTCCCGAATCTTTAATCCGAATGGCAACAACTGTTGGACCCTTGTTATCACAAAGTCGATGAAAATCAGCGGCTGAGAATCCATCAACTACCTCGTAAAAATAGCTTTGACTATAGCGGTAGTTTACTGTACATGTAATAATTTTGCATCTGCAATACATAACGATGACGATAAATTTGTCCTACTCGCGAACTTTAAAGGCAATTGATTGTAAATTACAAGTACCCTAGCCATGGCAAAAAACCCCAGCATAGCCAACAAAAAAAGCTCGGGCATGTGACTTTGTGGCTGCGATGTGACTTTATGTTTATTACCGATCTGTATTAACCAATTGACTTGCAAAATCAATAAAGCATTTTTTTAAAAAATTGCTTTGTGTGCTGTGCTTTATCAAAAATTTTTCCTTGTGAAATTTTGGTTTAATCGCGTGTCTCTTTTCTGCATAATATAGATGCTTTAATCCTAACAAAGTTTATTGATTTTAATAAAAAAAATAAAAATAATATTAGTTAAAATTTCAAATTAGCAAAAAATTTCTTATATGGGGCCAGTATTTGTAAAATTTTTGTTTTGAATTTACGTTATACATGGGATGCATCTATTTAATTTGCCTTATTTGGTAAAAATAAGGGGTAAACCAATCAAATCGCAAGTTATGAAATATTAATAATATTTTCAGTTAGGATTAGGGGGGTAAGGTTAAGATTATATACTGAATGTAGTAAAATTTTGCAAGGAATAAGCATTGAGCTACATCACAGACACAAAAAGTCACATGCCCGAGCTTTTTGTTGACTACGTTGGGGAAGTTAATTACAACAGTATGACGACATGCATGTATTGTTGATTTCGCCAGAATAGTAGGAACAATAACTCGACTAATAATAATCTTATACGGGGAATACTTTAAATAGCGATGTATAAGATTTGTTATAATGATACAACATAACTCTTCACTTTCTAATTTGGACAACATTGCATCATAGCAGACAGAAGTGGTATTTAAAAAGGATAGAAATTTTTTTTAAGAAATTGAATACAGCATACGTATAATAATGGCAGCTCAATCTCAAGTAAATCCCGTCGCTACCGAAAAATTATCGCATGACGCATTTATTGATTCTCCGACAATTAATAAACCAAAAATTCTCAACGAAAAAATCGAGAATCAATGGACTCCCAACGTCGACACTTATATCAAAGATTTACGCATCATTCCGGAACATAAATTTACCGTGACCACACTTTTCCCCCCGCTTACATATGTTGTGTATTTTCATCGTGCCATCAGAGATTTAGTGTTGACGGTGTTGTTCAATTGGTCGATGCCGTTCCTTCATCCTTTAAACTTTTTGGTGATGGTTACGGTATTTCCGGCTATCGTTATTGTATTGGTGGTGCTTGAAGCGGTTTTGCGTATTTCATATAGTCTTGGATTTGGATACGTATTGAAGGGCATATCGAAGAAATGGGGTGATGGTTTAAGCCCTGTCAATTGGTGTTAGTATTTATTTGTTAATTGTTGTAATGTTAACATGTATACGTTTTATATATTAATTTTAAATATAATGAGTTCTTAATAATTTCTAGCGAATCCAACAATATTTTCGGATGATAAAGTAAATAAAATTGTAAAAGTTGGAATAGCAAGACTCGCTCGGCCATTGGCCCCGGCTGTAGAAACAGTAGCAGAAACCACCAACAGAGGTACCACCAACGTTAAACAAACGCGTGAATTCAATCTCGACATCGCCGAAACTCTTTTACTCATGTCAGCTATTATCTATGAAAGAGACGATCTTAAAGTTCACGAAGCTCGAAAATTAGCCTTAGAACGGGACACGATAAAACGTGATGATGCAATTTACAATAAATTGCGTGATAGCGAAAAAAGAATTCATGAACAAGCGGATATTTGGAATCTCAAATTTACACGCTTGTCAGAATTAAATTCTCTTGGCGGGCCTTTCGCCGGAATGTTCTGGTCTGACGAGCATAATTTTATTGTAGTGGTGTTCAAAGGAACTACACCGACCGATTTTGAGGACTTTTTGGTTGATGCGATGATTCAGCGTGTTGATGCGAGGTAACTTTTATAATTTTTCATGTATTTACCAAGCTGGTTTGTAAAATAATTCTTCTATAACTAGGCCGTATGTTTTTGGTGAAGTCCACGAAGGTTTCTACACGTCACTTTTCCCAGAAACCGATCGCATAACTCCACGTGGGCACGCTTCTAGTCCATATATAACTATTATAAAAAAAATTCGTGAGAAAGCTGCTAGAATTCGAGAAAGAAATGCTCAGCTTTCACCACCAATTCATGCACCCGTAAATCTTTGGGTCACCGGCCATTCATTAGGAGCAGCACTCAGCACATTATTCTACTCTCGTTTGTTGAATTCACCTGCTGATCTTGGTCCAAACTGCATTCTCAGAGACGGGTATCTATTTGGAACACCGGCTATTGGTGATGCTGATTTCGCAGCAGAATACGCAGCCATTAGTAACACTCCATTCGACCGACAAAACACATTATGGCGTATTATTGATGATACTGATATCATTACAAAGCTTCCACTCGGATTTGAAGACCCATCAGTTCTTCGCTTCTCCGACAAATTCAGTGTTTTCAATTATGCGCATGTTGGTGAAGGAATTAGATTCTTCCAAGATGGCAGACCACCCGTGAGTACTTGGAGCTTGTTTAAAGACTCTCGAGCTGTGGTATGTGATGAAACGTGGCATAGCAGAAAAGATGCATTCCCAAAATACGAGCACAAACTCGGCAGTCCGTTGATGTGGGTAGAGAAGCTGTTGCCCACATTCTTTAGAAATCATGTCCCTATTCGATATTTTGAAGCGATGGAACGGGCGCGTGTCTATTTCGATGACGATGACGACGACAACGATGACAATGGTAAAAAGGTTAATGTAGAAAATTGATTGAATAATATTTTTGGAAAAATGCGAATATTTATATCAACTATGTTATCAATATAAATAATAAATATATATCAAATATATAATATTCAATACTAAGTAAATGCATGAAGTGGAATATTAAAAATTAAAACTAATCATAAATAAAACAAGCTATGGATTTGTTTTTTTTTGCGCGTTGACCAACATTAAGGAAATGCGATTTCATCAATAAAATGTGCACCCATTTAAAAAATACAATAGACACAAAATCTTAAAACTAGCTAAACAAAGTTACGTTCTTAGATTTTCTATGAATAGGTTTTTGACAATTCAAAGTTGGGTAATTTTATTTATAAATTGGAATCTATGGACATGTATATATTAATTTTGTTAGACTCGAATGGCCTGATTACTTTATAGGAAAAATCATAAAGATCTAAATTAGAGCTTTTCTCACCTTATTAAATAAAAATGCTTTGTAGGAATTGGCTTTAATTTCAACTCATTATATGCTTGTATGCTTCAGCGCCGATTTTCGCAAACTTGAACTGTTACCAATTGAGTTTAGCAGCTTTGTAATTACTGTTGTTTTCTCAGCATATGTGCAACTGTTAACTTTTCATTCAGATGATAAGGACAGAAGCACATTTAATATTATAAGTTTGTCATTGAAAAACTAAATTGACGTATATTAAGAGAAGTCTCATCGCGACTTTCATCCTGTAAATATATAGTCGCGGTGTAATATTCCTCGAATTGGTGATTTTGCACTTATCAGTTTAACAAATATAACCAAGAAATTTGCGGAATGATTGGCACAGGAGACCTTTAGAACCCTATTGATACCTCACTCCAGCAAAGAAGTGTATACAGTATTTCACTGATAGCGGATATGCATATTTAGATGCTCAAACTCACATGAATTAAGAGCCCAACTCGTTTTCATAGTGTATGTATATCGTAGTTTTAGAGATCAGTTCTTGGTAGTATGTGAGACACGAAGTCGCTTTCGTAGTAATTCGAAAGAAGCTGGTATTCGTTATTCACGTGTATTCTCGATTCGGTGGTTGACTAGACACATTTATCGTCCTATGATCTCGAAAAAAGAAATAATTAATCTTAAATAAGTTTGATCTCATTTCCCTATTTCTATCGGACGAGTAACTTTGCTATTGAAATTCATCTTTTGATTTGTTAAAATTGAAGTGAAGAATATTAATGAAACCAATTTTTTACGTTATTAAAGGACAAACGAAGCATTCTGTTAAGACAACAAGCACAATTTGCGAAATAAGCCAACTTTCGATAATTATATAAATCTCTCGATTTTAGCATGCCCTCTCATTCTTCTGGATTGTATCTTGTTTGATTAGAGACAAGGTCGATATACAAAGTTCTTATGGATCTGATTTTTTTGGAAGGCTAATATTTTTAGAAATAGATTACGAATGTTTTTATTTTTGTTTCTTATTATTTTAATTTATCAATTTTTATTATTGACTAACTATATTAATATTATTATTTATCAGCATTAGCAAGAAACATAACTCGACTTTTGTTCAAATTTGCGAGAAGTATTTTTAAAACAGAGGGTTCGGGGATAGCTAAATAAAAATTACATGTTGGTATTTGGACGAGAAATGGTGTAATAGTCTGATACATGTAATATTGTTAATCAAATCACAGTTTTTCTTTTTCACACCAGTTTACGGAAATTACATGCAAGTATATAGTATTATTCAAACTTATCCTACGTGTAAAACTGGATATTATATTGGGGAATTTTTGTTCATAGAAGATTCTACGTGTATTTAATAACTAGATAATACAAATTGGGATTACAATGTTGGTTGTTTAACATATTAATAAGCATCGGCTTTTGAAAAAGATCCGGGTGAGTAATTTAAGTAAAAAATATTCACATATAAGATTTCAAATGGCGTGGTCAAATACAGCATAGGTCTATGTTGATGCCCTGAATCCGGACGTACACAACTACTATTAGTGCACGAGTTAGCTCCACAGAAGCTAGCTCTGTAGTCATCAAAGGGGTTCACGTTCACGTGCATGAGTTGCATCGTCCGGATGTTATTAAATTAAAATAAATATCTGGATCTAAATCACGGAAGGTATTATCTTTGAAGGATACTATATAAAGTGCTATATAGTACTTAGAAGTGACTTTCAAAGTTTACGTTTTCGTCGCCTTTTTTTTTCTTTCTTTTGTAAAAATCTTTATGAAGGTTTGGAGGAGGAATCCCATGATCTCGTTCACGTACACGTGAAACATTTACGCATACATTAACGTGATTACATAAAGCAGGCAAAATTTGAATAACTCGGCATTGAAGAATTATCGTAGATCAAAAAATGCCAATGGCGAGCTATTCAAATTTCGCTGCTCTTCGTCATTGTATACATTCACTAAATAAAAACGTAAGCTAATTTGTTTCTCTTGAAACATTAATCTTGTGTGGTAAGGAACTTACAGATTTCATTGCCATTATTTCATTGGAAAAAACATTTCATGCTTTAAATGCTGAATTCTGGATCTATCCCCGAATCCCGAAACCCAAAATCACGAATGCACAACATCCCGAATTCCAAATTCCCGACTCCCAACATCCCATCATTCCCAAAATCTCGACATACTAAGATCCCGATAATAAACTTAAAATTATGTAATAAACATTGATGCGAAAAGTATATGGGCGTGTGTAATAATAATGATTGCCACTATCAATTCTTTCATACATACCTTTACACTTATTTTGTTGGGCTTTTAGGAATGTCCAGGATGTTGGGGAGCCGGGATTTTAGGTGGCTCCCTGACTAGTTCTATATAATTTCGTCCCTAAATCATTGTAGGCATTGTCAATTTCTTCTTCTAAAGCCCTCTGATCTGTTTTCGGATAACTTGAGGATTTCTATGACATAGTCCTTCATTCACTTTCGGCAAAATTATTCACGCTTTTGTTCATCTTGCGGAATATAAGCAACATCCCCCGTATTGATCTTTACCCTATTGTTAATCTTTAACGTTAAATTTTAAATTTTTTATCAATAACTTTCGATGACCAATTAAAATAAATTTTTAGGGTATCAAGGAGAAGTAACGAATCAATTGATACATTCTGCTTTTTGTTGGAGACGACAAAAATTTCCCAGCTTTTGGTGTTATCAGAAAATACCAAAGTCGGTGATTAAAGAAATGCCATCTTCAGAATTTTCATTCAGAGGCCGCACTTGAAAGGTTCTTCCATTCGTAATACTTTGCATGAGCGATAATTTTCAAAATATATGACTGTAAAGAGTGTTTAAGCTGCCTTTACCCTCGCTGCTGCAAAATATTTAGCCTCAAGGAAACTGTATATGAAATTTTGATTTATTTAACAATTTTATGTACAGCTTCTTTGGATGGGAATTGAGTGTAAGACATACCATTCAATTCACTAGGCTCTGGTGATTTTGTACTCAATTCCTGTTATTGGGTTTCGAGATATTGAGACTTAAAGAGACCACACATGGAATTACTCATACAGTATCTTGTGATTTGATTTGTTTACAAAAAGATGAGATGTACAAAAATAAATAGTTAATTATTACGTAGCTTAATATCATAATGCCGCATTATCATAGTACAGGCTTGAATTATTGTAATGCTGCTGATTTATCACTCCGATTATTTAATTGGCGGAACCAAAGAATCCCACAATTTTGTAAATTTGATCTTTATTACATATTTATATATCAAAAAGGGAATAACAGAATTAACATTCCTGACACAGCAGTGCTTGGGTGAAGTGTGTTCAGTGAT